CATATAGCATATATTCAACTCAAAAAAACAGTGGCAATTTGTTGTTGACAAAGGGCAGCTGGACATATAAAAGGCCCCATTCCCTTCAGTAGCTCCTCATCAAACCTAAATCCAGCCCTGTGAGAACCACAACCGCCAGATCAGGTTGGCACCTATAGCCATTCTCACCTGAGGTGCCAGAACATCCCCTGGGATCGGAGGAGGAAGAGGAAGAGGAAGAATGGGTGCTGGTGCATTTAGCCAAAGCTACTCCTGAACGTTTTAACATCAGCCAAAGATTACTCGGTTGCATCAAGTCAAAAGACAAACTGTTTGTCCTCGTATTCAAACCGCTGGCCAAAAACCACAGAGCAGATAACATTGGAGGCGGCATGGCTGAGGTAGAAGGTCGGATCAAATGGATGCCCTGGGGAGGTGGAAAATGGGCACAACATCACCCAAGATGCCAGGATGCATCCTGTGGTCAAAGGAGAAAGAATATGCCTAATGGACACTGGGGCATTTAGCTAAAAAGGCTTCTGAATGCTTTAACAGCAGCCAGAAATATGCAAACGAGCTTCTCCAGCTAGATGAAGCGGGAGTTCTGCACTGGCTCCCATGGCATGGCAAGTTCCTGCCCATGTGCAGAGGTTTATATGGCTTCATCTAGCTGGAGAATCTTGGGTGATGTTGTGCCCATTTTCCACCTCCCCAGGGCATCCATTTGATCCGACCTTCTACCTCAGCCACGCCGCCTCCAATGTTATCTGCTCTGTGGTTTTTGGCCAGCGGTTTGAATACGAGGACAAACAGTTTGTCTTTTGACTTGATGCAACCGAGTAATCTTTGGCTGATGTTAAAAGGTTCAGGAGTAGCTTTGGCTAAATGCACCAGCATCCATTCTTCCTCTTCCTCTTCCTCCTCCGATCCCAGGGGATGTTCTGGCACCTCAGGTGAGAATGGCTATAGGTGCCAACCTGATCTGGCGGTTGTGGTTCTCACAGGGCTGGATTTAGGTTTAATGAGGAGCTAGTGAAGGGAATGGGGCCTTTTATATGTCCAGCTGCCCTTTGTCAACAACAAATTGCCACTGTTTTTTTGAGTTGATTATATGCTATATGGTAATTTATGGGCCTAATAGGTATCTCAAGACATTTGCACATGTTGCCATGCAACCATTCCATGCAGAATGTAAAGGTAAGGTAAAGGGACCCCTGACCATTAGGTCCAGTCGTGACCGACTCTGGGGTTGCGGTGCTCATCTTGCTTTATTGGCCGAGGGAGCCGGCGTACAGTTTCCGGGTCATATGCCCAGCATGACTAAGTCACTTCTGGCGAACCCAGATCAGTGCATGGAAACGCCGTTTACCTTACCGCCGGAGCGGTACCTATTTATCTACTTGCACTGGCATGCTTTCGAACTGCTAGGTTGGCAGGAGGCAGGGACCGAGCAACGGGAGCTCACCCCGTCACGGGGATTCGAACCGCCGACTTTCTGATTGGCAAGTCCTAGGCTCTGTGGTTTAACCCACAGCGCTACCCGCATCCCATACAGAATGTAGGCACCCTATATATAGAAATGAGCAAACCAGTGATATTTTAGGGAGCAGCCTAGCAGGCGGGGCCCATGACTTACATCACAGGAGCCCACACAACACAAAACACTGTTTCTGTATGTAGGTTTTGTTTTATTTCTTTTTTATCTTACATTTTGGAAACGTACATCCAGTTTTCCCCCTTTAAATTTGTTGGGAGCCCCCAAGAGAGTGGGGCCCTAAGCTATAGCTTGTTTAGCTTATACGTAAATCCGGCACTGGGTTCTCACTCCTGGTCTCCTCAGCAGCTTCTGCTTCCATTCCGATATCCATTTCCAGTGGAGCTGAGGATTCAAGTGTCCATTCCTGACCCAGCTACAGCGGTGCTTCGTCCCTCCCCAGTTAATGGAGGGAGGGAGCTGCAGGGACGGATCCTGGTGGCAGCTTGCAGTCCGTTCGCTTGGGGTGCTCATCTCTGCCAGGTAGTTACCAAGATGGGGATGGTGGCCTAGAGTTCTGGGGGATTTGTTGAGACCTACAGTCTTCATTTTTGGATGCCCAAGGCTGATCAGTACAGGCTATTCCTCGGTGGAGGCCTATGGGACTAGACAGGGCTGGAGATAAAAAGCTCTGGCTGACTCAAAGGGGCTTTTCTGGCAAGGTTGTCGACGCTTTGTTTCCCTCAAGGCCGGTTTCTACCAAAAAAGTGCACAGGGAAGTTGCTTTTGTCTTAAATGAGCAAATACCATGTTTTTCCATGTATAAAACTAGGTTTTTTCCTTTTAAAATTATGTTTAAAAAAACTGGGGGCGTCTAATACACAGGTATAAGACGCCCCCCCCCATTTTCTTAATTTGGAGTCCCCCAGACAGCGGGCGTCTTATACATGGGGCGTGTTATACACGGAAAATACGGTAAATCCTGGTGCTGCTCCACGGAGACTGACTCAGGAAGGAGGGGATGAATAGGGAGTTGGGCTGCACCATGATTAAAATGCCACCTGCCATTTTAAGCAGAGTTCTGGACAGTTTGGCTGGTCCAATCTTGTCTTCATGTCAGATGCTTTGAGGACATCTGGGACTCGGCTACATTAGTCCCCCAAAAAACCCCACACACCCCCAACACTTTGAATGTGTTATAAACATGCAACACTAGATGGAGCCAGAGAGCAAACAAAAAAAATTCTACGCAATTTTTTTACATAATATCCCCCCCTTTTGTTATAATTATTTAATTTCTGACTTATTTGTAGCATCATGTCCCCCCCCCCCCCGTGTGTAGATCCACCCCTCTTCTACTTGGGTTTGTTGTTGTTGTTTAGTTGTTTGGTCAAACTCATGCTGGTCGCTTCGAGAACACTATCCAACCATCTCATCCTCTGCCGTCCCCTTCTCCTTGTGCCCTCCATCTTCCCCAACATCAGGGTCTTTTCCAGGGAGTCTTCTCTTCTCATGAGGTGGCCAAAGTCTTGGAGCCTCAGCTTCAGGATCTGTCCTTCCAGTGACCACTCAGGGCTGATTTCCTTCAGAATGGAGAGGTTTGATCTTCTTGCAGTCCATGGGACCCTCAAGAGTCTCCTCCTGCGCCAGAATTCAAAAGCATCCATTCTTCGGCGATCAGCCTTCTTTATGATCCAGCTCTCACTTCCATACATCACTACTGGGAAAACCATAGCTTTAACTATACGGACCTTTGTTGGCAAGGTGATGTCTCTGCTTTTTAAGACGCTGTCTAGGTTCCTGGAGCAGGAACCGGCAAGCCACTCCAGTATCCCTGCCAAGGAAACTCCATGGACAAAGACAACCAGGATTAGTGGAAGGTAATTTGCTACTCTAAATCTCATACTGATTCCTTCCCACCCAGAGGAATCTTCCATTTGTCACTTTCTCTTCTCATTCCTCTCCCTCTCTTGTTCAGGGAATTGAAGTCTTCCTGGCACTGAGATCTGTGCTGAGAGACCCCCAAAATTTTGCAAAATCAGAAGGATCCGACCCTTAACACTTCCTGGATGATAACAGGCAGTTCAAGAAGAATGAGGCTTTTATGCCATTCTCTTTTGGTGAGTCCGTGTGTGTGTGTGTGTGTGTGTGTGTGTGTGTGTGTGTTTACAGCAAATAATAGCTCAACATGGGACTATCCCACACTTCCACTTCCAAGGCCCCGTGGCTACATCACTGCCTAAGTGATAAATAACCAGACAAGACAACAATATAAATTGGCTTCAAATCGGCCACAACTTTATTGATTACAGTTGTGAATGGTTTGGCATAGGCATATGGGTGTAGCCATTTTCCACTCCAGACCATTTGCTGGGAGTGCATCTATGGGTAAATCTGGGGGTGTGTGATATGACCTACATCAAATAGGGGTACCCCATGGGGGTTCCCCGTGGAGGAGTACTATGACCTTAGTCCCTGTCTGGGCATCCAGACAGAAGCAACTCCTTGCAGATCCCTTTAACAGGATACCCATAACCAAGGAGGGGCAGGCAGAGGCTACAACCTCCCCTCCGGCCAAGACCAAGGCTTACCCCATTCCTAACCTTACAAAGTTGTGACTATTGCTACGAGGAAGGCAAAAACCACAAAACTGGAGCCAATTTGCCAAGTGGAAGAATTCTGGCCTGGTTCTGAATATGGCAGCCAATAAAGTCCATAGCAAGATTAAACATGAAGGCATAAAACACATGAATAATCGAGGCAGAGTGGGAGATCCAGTGAAGAACTGGGGAGGAAGCCTTCGCAGACCTCTGTTTATCTCTCTGGGAGTGGAGCCAAGTGATGCCTGTTGGCTGAGCCTAAACCTGCCTGCCACTGGCTGATTTGCAAGCAGGCTGCCATCCTCCCCCAGGCCAGTGCCGGATCGCGGACATGTCCGGGGCTGCAGCACCGCCTGACCATTAAAGGTAAGCAGACTTGTGTTGTGCCTAGAAAGCAGAGGTCTGAGTGATTTTGTGATGGCCTGGGAATCGGATTCAGAGGCTGAACCTGAGGAATCCCAGCCTGCACAGGAGTCCCCGCCTCCAGGGCCGGCTGAGCCGGGGCTGGGGCTTGAACCTGAAGGCCCCTCACCTGTGCTGGAACCTCAGGAGCAGACACCAGCTGAATCCGCTCTGGCTCCAGAGGTGATGGAGGACCCATTGCCTGCAGGTGCTCCTCTCCCAGCCCTGTCAGGGGAAGGTGAGGTTGCCTCTGGGTCCAGTAACCCTCCAGCCTCTCTGGAGCTGCAGAGGCTCAGGGCAGAGAGGCGGAGGGAACTAAGTTCCCGCAGGAGGAGTGCTCGCCTCCAGGCCAGCAGAGGCGAGTCACCTGTGGGCCGGGACAGCCCTAGGCCCCAGAGGAGATAAAGGCCAGTCATCCCAGTCCCAGGTTGCGGGAAACCTGTTCCTGCCAGCACCCTGACCTGCTCTTCCGGAGTTCCTGACCACGCCTGGCTCCTTGCCTTGGACCCCGCTTCGTCATTGACAGACAGCCTCCAGACCCTCGACCCAGGACCGGACTCAGACCACGCCGCACGGTAACCCCCCTGGGACCAGCACAAGCCAGCTGTCTCAGCTCAGGCAGGTAGGCTGCCAGCCAGCGAGATAGCCAGCAGAATCTCTAATCTGTCCTGATTGCCCAATGCCCAGAACACAAACTCTACACCCCCTCCCAACTGGATAGAGAGGCTGGAGAGAGAGATGGAATAACTCCAAAAGGGGGTGTGATCCTTCAGCAAAATTTATACAAGAGCCTCAGTTTCAGCTACGTGGGCACTTTCTCTTCCCAGCTACTTGGAGCTCCACAGGTCACCCACAACCTCCCCATAGATCTCCTCGGAGCAGCAACCCTTTTCCTCTGCTACACTCCTCTTAGTCTTACACCAGCAGAGACCCTGTCAAATGATACAGAATTCTGAGAAATGAGGTGAGAGAATTGTGTTTGACTCTGGGACTCCTTGCAGCTCCCTTGGTGGTGCAGACTTGGACAGGCAACTCCCTGTCTCCCCTATCCATCCATCTGAACTTTGCTCTGGAAGGTCTTCTCTTGACTTGAAAGAAGACCCTGAGCAGAGATTAACAGGTTGCACAATTTCAAGGAGGAGGTTCTTCCGAAGGTATGTAGCAGGCTCAACTCGGACTGCGTGGGTATTTTCTCTTCCCAGCTGGTCAGCAACACATTGCCTGCAGAGCTCCACAGGCCACCCACAACCTCCCCATGGATCTCCTGGGAGCAGCAACCCTTTTCCTGGTCATCTGCCTCTTTTGCCTGACAGTCCTCTCAACATGGCGGCAGATGCACCGCAAAAGCCAGATGCCGCCTGGACCAACTCCCCTCCCCTTCATCGGGAACCTGCTCCAAGTCAACACAAGTGATATGTACCGTTCATTCATGAAGGTAAGTTTCTATCATGTGTCAGAGCACAGTTTCCCATTCTCTGAATTGTTATTGTAAAATCATTCTTAAATACTGTTGATTAATGAAGGTCACTCCCATCTATCTATCTACCCACTCATCCTTCTCTCTCTCTCTCTCTCTCTCTCTCTCTCTCTCTCTCTCTCTCTCCCACTTGACTCATCATCTCATCATAATTCTCCTTCCATCACATTCTCCAGCTTCTTATTCTCTCTCTCTTTATATTTCTGCCTGAGTGGAAGGATCTATGCTTGCATACGGCTATATGTTTCCATCTTGCAAGATATCAGCCTTAATTAAAATGTTTTAAAAAGACTTCCACCGTTTACGCCACACGTCTTTTATACTTCAGCCGCCATAACCTCTGTTCTTCATATCCTTCCTATAGGTTTTCCTTAATTTTTCACATTCTTTATATTTTTCACAAGATTAGTCTAAACGCAACCAAATTTGGGTAACTGAGCCCTGGTTTTGTAAATATTCATTTAGACAGTCCCCCTGTTTCTTGACCATAATCTTGGGTTTTCTCGTGTCTCATTTTCACATCAGTTGGTGGTTCTTTTTAAGGAAAGTCCTCAAGAAAATTAGCCAGCATTTTAGTAGGCATTTCTTTTAAATAAACATTTCCCCCTAGCAATTCCTCCAGATATTGAGGATTTTTCAATGTTATTTTCAATCCTATAAACATTTTCATGCACACGTGCCCCTAATATATGCACTTATGCTCTCAATTTTCTGGGTGGGGGGGGGAGGACTGTATCATCCGACTCAAAGAAGTTTCGATTTTGAAGGGGCAGCTCTGTTTCAGAAAGTGGGAATGAGGACTGTTTGCATTATCAGGTGGACTGAACCCTAATTTCCCCCCTACAAATGGCTTCAGAGATTTATTGCAGCAGCTACGTGTAAGTCCAGGTAAATGCTTCACTGCAACACCAGCAGTTTCATCAGGCTGTGGCACACCTTCCTTCCTTTTCATCATCTCTGAAGTCAGCGCACATGTGGACAAAGCCTGGACCAAGGGAGCCGCTGAAGGGAGGAGGAGACTGCCCAGTGCTGGACCTCCCGGTGGGAGTCCTTTCAACCTGGCTTATTATTTCACATGGTTCACACCACCCTCAGTTACAGCCTTGGGCTCCTTAAAGGGAAAGCTGCAGGCAAACTTAACCAAGAATTGAATAGTGCACTGCCCAAAGAAATCCAGCTATTCAGTTCTTAAGAATGAATTAGAAATCTCACACCCAGCAGAACCTGCTCTACCTAGTTGGTGAAAAATGGAGACTTCCCACCCAAGAGAGGTATTAATAATACTAATAATAATAATAATAATAATAATAATACTTTATTATTTGTACCCCGCCCATCTGGCTGGGTTTCCCCAGCCACTCTGGGCGGCTTCCAACAAAGATGAAAAATACACTAAAATGTCACATATTTAAAACTTCCCTGAACAGGGCTGCCTTCAGATGTCTTCTGAATGTCAGGTAGTTGTTTATCGCTTTGACATCTGATGGGAGGGCGTTCCACAGGGCGGGCGCCACTACCGAGAAGGCCCTCTGCCTGGTTCCCTGTAACTTGGCCTCTCGCAGTGAGGGAACCGCCAGAAGGCCCTCGGAACTGGGACCTCAGTGTCCAGGCAGAATGATGGGGGAGGAGACGCTCCTTCAGATATACTGGACCGAGGCCGTATTTGGGCATGAGTGTCCAAGCAACTTATATTAAAGAACTATATATGCACATATATAATGCCGTGGCAGGGGAAGGGGGGGTCACATTTTGAGCTAACATTTTGTGTAAGATACAGTTTGTGGAAAAACAACAACACACCAGCCTCTAGAACGGTAAGAAACAACATTAGCAATACTCAAACAATTAACAAAGCAATATTCCCACCACTGGCTAGCAGATAAACATTATGTATTATGTGTTTATATATGTTGGAAGCTGCCCAGAGTGGCTGGGGCAACCCAGTAAGATGTGTGGGGTATAAATGGTAAAATTATCATTATGGAATGGGATGTCCCTATTTCCATCAGAGAAATGTTGAAGGGTATGCACCTCTTTTTCTAGAAAAATAGCTCTGGGTCAGCTAATGCTAGGGAGGATAGCCAGTTTTTAATCTTGCTTGTCTTCCTGAAAACCAACCTGTTTGCTCCATCTGTCCATCTGATTTCACACAATGCCCTCCCCCTCTTTTCACAGATTCATGAGAAATATGGTCCTGTCTACACCATCCACTTAGGGCCCCGCCGTGTTGTCGTCTTGTGTGGATACGATGCCGTGAAGGAGGCCCTGGTGAATCAAGCCGAAGAGTTCAGCGGCCGTGGAGAGCAATCGGCATTTGACTGGATTTTCCGGGGCTACGGTGAGTAGCTCTTCTTGGGCAACCCTTGGCCAGAGTGCATCTTCACTGGCAATTTTTCTAGTGTAACTGAAAGCAAATTATTTTCTAAACTTGGTACACATAAAACATTGGTAAACTTGGTACTTAAACAGTTAATATTCACACTACCCTTTCCAGCTGACTCATGCACTGTTCCATCAGCTAGTACTACATTTACAGACTTACAAGGCTGCTTTTCTACAAGGGTTTGTGCAGACCTTAACAAAAATGTTTGTCGCTGCTGAGTCTAAAATCCAGTCCTGTCCAACGTCGTGACTGGTGCCTCGAACTGCTGCAGAAACATACTGGACTCGACTCTTCCTGTCTCCTCGCTTCCCAGCAAACGTGGGCCGCCCTTTTCTTGTGTTTTCTCCCACAGACACAGTGCGCTGACGTACTAAATGCTTAGCTGACCCACAACGATAGCATCTGACTGTGAAAGCTGCTTCCTCAACAACCTCTTTAGGTTGCCGCTCCTCATCAGTTGCATATCTTTTACTGGACTGCCTCCCATTTCTGGAGTTACGGTGAGGGGTTGTGGCCTTCCTCTCATGGCGTCTTTTCTCCTCATCAAGCAAACGCCCAATTAAGAAATGCATTGTTAATTGGCTTTCTGGAATTGCCTCCAAGGTCATCACTAAATTTCCCCATGACTCAGGAAGTGAAGACAGCACAATATAAACCTTTCTCTGTTCAGAAAAATGTTCCCCAAGTTCATTTAACTGTGAAAATAAATCATGCATTCTTTGAAGGTGTTTTGAAACACATTCACCCTCACTTAGTCTGGCTCGGTACAGAGCTCTCGTTAGAGTAATTTTGCTGCCAGCAGTGTCTCTAATGTGTATCGCTCTCAACGCTTTCCAAATCTCACTTGCTGTTTCAAGGTCTCGCACATGAGATAATTGAGACATCTCTAAACTCAAAATTAAATTGGCATAGGCTTTGTCCTCCAGCCTTTGGTCTGCTTCACCTACTTCTTCATCCTCATCTTTTACAGGAAGGTTAACAATAACAGTCCAACATTGTTCTTTCTTTAAAAACACCTGCATCTGTAAACTCCATGACATATAATTGGACTCTCCCAGTTTCTCTACTAGAAAATATGGAAGCTCCCCCTTGAGCTCCAGCTCCAAGTCCAGCCATGGCTCCACCCAGCTTTCCACTTTACTCACACGTGGCTTGAAGAAATGTTCGGCTCCTGGTCTCAAACAGACACTCCCTGCCGACACCTTCACACAGCCAGCTGCTTGAGAAACGCTGAGTTGCTTCCAGTCTCCGGGTTCTTTTCATGCTCTGTCTCTGCCCACTCAGGACTGGGCCCATAACCTATTGGAGGGGGATTTTCAACTGGTGGCCGAGGACAGACTGTGACTCCAGGAAACATAGGTGTAAAACCAAAACTAAAACGAAGACTTTATTACAAAACAACAAACAGAAACTCTGGTGGGTGTTATTCCTGCAGGCAGGCTACAAAACGCAGGTTTTTCCTTTTGTAGCCATGGCCAGCTGCAACCAATTAACCCAGAAACTTCTTAAAGGTATACACATGTTTCTGTGCAGAATGTCTCCCAACATTTAGCAGTGGTCCTTCATGCAGTCCTATGAAGAAGATTTTTGAATACCCATTTTTCAGTGGAGAAAAGTGGTCCGAGAAAGGGTTTCTCTAGGCAATTAAAATGAGTCATAGACAGTGGCGGAGCTTCATGCTCCAGCACTGGGGGGCGGAGAACAGGCGGGGGCAGGACTGGCACATGTCCCGGGGGCATGGCATGCATCCTGGGGGTGTGGTGCGCCGCCACAGGGGCGTGGCACGCATCCTGGGGGTGTGGCATGCTGCCTGCGGGGCATGGTGCCCAGCACAGGAGTGGGGCAGCCACAATGGCACCCCACCAGGATTGCGCTGCTGGGGGTGGTGCACTCCCCCCGCACTCCTCTTCCTCCGACAGTGGTCATAGAAGAGATGGTATTTGCATTTTAATATTCAGAGCCAAGCAGAGGACCAGTGATGTAACTTAGTTGCTTTGCAAGTGTAGATGATCGTGCCTGGAAAAAGCTCTGGGCTTTGCATGTGTCTTCCATCAGCTGATTGTCGGCCGTGTCTTTTCCTCTATTTTTCTCCCTGTCGGAGGTTCCTTACGACCAAGCTTAAATGGCTCTCCCCCATGACATACTATCTTCAGAATCCAAGGACCTCTGCTCCGACAGTGATTAACAACCTAAGCCTTTGATGAGGCCTCAGACACGTTCCCATTATGCAGAGTATCCAAACAGCAGAAGGGCGAGAAATATGTGCTACATCGCTACGTTTATTTCTAGCTACGCAGGACAGAAAAGAATATGCATCTGCTCTCTGTGAGAGTCAGTGAACAACAACACAAAGAAAAAGGAAACCAGTAACATCAACTTCCGTCTCCCATCTCCTGTGAGACTTCTAACAGTCTGGAATGTAATTAGAGTCTTGTGACTCCAAAAACTGCACAGTGGCATAACAGAAATCCAACACTCCCACCCACTCTTAAATACAGTGGCGTAGCGTGGGGGGTGCAGGGGGGGCTGGCCGCACCGGGCGCAACATCTGGGGTTAGGGCAAATCCACAGGTTAGGGGGCGCAAATCCACGGGTTAGGGGGCGCAAATTACTTGCCTTGCCCCGGGTGCTGACAACCCACGCTACGCCACTGCTTAAATACCTCAACTGTCTTCACACACACACACACACACACACACACAGACACGAGAGAGACTCCTTAGCTTTGCAAATGTGTTAGCAGTTTTATTGCTGCACCACTAGGAGTTACAGAGAGAGAGAGAATGAGAGGGAACACTTACACCTAGAATGTTCTTCCAAGTGCTGAAATTGCAACTTTAAAAACCAGTCAACAAAGATTTCATTGCGGGGAGAATCTCTATCACTGTGTGTTTTCAGCCACATTCCCACTGAGTGCACATTCTCCTGCTGCTCCTTCCCTTTACTCCTCCTTTGCTTCTCAGGGGTTGCCTTCAGCAACGGGGAACGGGCCAAGCAGCTACGCCGATTCTCCATCATGACGCTGAGGAATTTTGGGATGGGAAAGAGATCCGTCGAAGAGCGGATCCTGGAGGAGGCCCACTTCTTGCTGGAATCCCTGAGGGAAACAAAAAGTGAGCTCAGTTTTGGTATCTTCGAGAAATGCTGCTTAATGAGTTACAGGTAATAGTTAGAAACTGGGCAGTTAAGTGGGCATTTGAACGCTGATAATCTGAACCTTGTCACTGCGGCATTTGAGTCCCAGTTGTATATTGGACATCCCCAAGGCTGCAAGGAGCAGGAACTAAAAGTGCCAGTCTCTGCTTCCCTCGGACAAAATAAGCCAGATACACAATAGCAAAATGTGACCCAAGTGATCCAAGTATTAAAATTGACAAAGGTATAAAAACTCAAAACATATTAATGATCAATTAATATCTCGGTCCTGTATACCTGAAGGAGCGTCTCCACCCCCATCATTCTGCCTGGACACTGAGGTCCAGCTCCGAGGGCCTTCTGGCGGTTCCCTCCCTGCGAGAAGTGAGGTTGCAGGGAACCAGGCAGAGGGCCTTCTCGATGGTGGCACCCGCCCTGTGAAACGCCCTCCCACCAGATGTCAAGGAAATAAACAACTAACTGACATTTAGAAGACATCCCAAAGCAGCCCTGTTTAGGGTTTTTAATGACTGATGTTTTAATGTATTTTTAATCTTTTGTTGGAAGCCGCCCAGAGTGGCTGGGGAGACCCAGCCAGTTGGGCAGGGTAAAAATAAATTATTATTATTATTATTATTATTATTATTATTATTATTATTATTATTATGAATTATATACTAAACTGAAAGACAACAGTCACAAAGATATGAAGGTCTTTTTTAATAGAATAAAACTACCCCATTTAGATGATATACAAAAACAAATGCTATTAACACCAATACTGTATCAGAGTCAAAAATTAAACAAACTATTCTTAAAATGACAAGTGGCAAAACAAAATGATTGGATGGAATCGCCATTGAATGGTATAAGATCTATTGGTACCAAAATTTCATCAATTGTATGATGAGATACTTGATAAAGGTATTTTATCAACAATATGTATTCAAGCTTATATTACAATTATTCCCAAACCAGATAAACATCATACACAGTGTGCAAGTTATCAGTTTATAGCATATCTTTGATAAAAAAAATTAATATTCTATTAACCGGTCCAAATCGGAATTGATTGGAGTAACACTTGCAGTTTAATGTTGAATTTTGGATATAATGGAGATGAAAGAGATTTGGATTATTATAAAAGATGCAGGAGGAAATGGTTAACAAAAGGACCCACAAAGGGGAGGAGGGAAGTTCAGGAGATTCCTTGGAATCTTGTTTTTATGTTGGTTGTTGGATAATTGATTGTAAAAAAAAATGAACTGGAAAATTAAATAAATTTTTAAAAAACACAAATTGGAATTGATGCCAGTAGGTCAAAAATTTGATTGCACATTCATTAAAGGAATATCAATTTCGGATTTGTTCCGATTCTGCTAAATACCTAGGCATCTTAATACGATGAGATATAAAACACTTAGTTACTGTTAATATATATAAATTTCTAGGTGCGCCTTTTGACCCCACCTACGTCCTGAGCCGTTCAGTGTCCAACGTCATCAGCTCCATTGCCTTTGGCAACCGCTTTGAATACGAAGATAAGGAGTTCCTCTTCTTGCTCAGCACTTCGCTGGAAGTCTTCCAGTTCACTGCCACCTCTTGGGGACAGGTACGTTGGAGGGGAGGGGGAGGACTACCAGCATGAGATTGTGAATAATGCCACCTCTCTTAATCTGCTCAAGGCACAGCATGCAGGACAGCCAGCCCCAGGTGGAGCCCTGTCATTACCCCAAAAGACCAGCAGTGTAGCATTCCCAAAGCAAGGAAGGATTGGACTCTGATAAAATACACACAGAAGCTTGACCAGCAAGACTCTGGGAGGGGTGCGTACATAGCTGTCAACTGTCCCTTATTTGGCGGGAAAGTCCCTTATCCCAGCACCGTGTCCCGCTGCTGTCCCTTATTGATGATGTCCCTTAAATTTCCCGGGTTTCAAAGGAAGCAGCTCCTCTCCCTCCTTCCCTGCCGGCCAGGGAGGAGGGAGGCTCCAACTGTGTTGCTTGGCTGTGTTGCTCACCCAATAAGGAGTCTAAGAACGACTGGGGGGTGGAGATTGCATGCCTTGTGCCGATCAAATCGGCCGCGTTGCCTGGGGACTCGCCTTTGCTCAGCGCTTCCCAGTGGAGAGGTGACGGTGGTTTTCCTTGCTGCATCCCCTTTGGCGGGTTGCTGGGCTGTGGGAACCACCACTTGAGGCTTCGTTTGGCTGCTGGTTGACTAAAATCCCTTATTTTGGCTGCTGATCCCTTATTTTCGGGGCTGCTGGTCCCTTATTTTCAAATCTGTAAGTTGACAGCTATGGGTGTGCATAATAGTAATTCCCTTCCCCTCAGCCCAGGTCGTTTTATTCACAAAAGAACTTTTTACACAGTGTTCGTAAGAACCAATCAGTTTTCTTCTGAGTATTTCAAAAAACCCCACGTGGGACAAAGTTAAAACTACAAAGAGCTAATTTCCTACTTGAGCGTGCATATGTAATTCAGAGTAAATAAAAGAGGAAGCAAGGAGGAATGCTTTTAGGAAACTCCAGAGGTCATAAACAGCAATAAACAGGAGAGGAAGGATGGGTAGTATTTACCATCTCCTTGTGAACGATTAACAAACTACATCAAAGCTACCTTCTATCTTTATGACCCAGGATGCCTGATGAACAACTGGCCTGTGTACTTAGAATGCTGATACGTGCCTGTCAGGCGTAGAGAAAGCAAATGCCTGAGGTGGATAGGCTTGTGGGATTTGATCAGAAATTATTGTCAATGAATTAAACCTAGTCAACGCAATGCGTTCATCGGGGACACAATGGCTTGCTCCATATGTCATAATTCCTCATAGCAGTCCCACCTGACCCCCACACTCTGGATATCTGCACTCCTACACAGCAGTGGTGTTATGTACTGAGTTGAATAGGATCCAAAATGCAGCAGCCTGATTGGTCCTAGAACAATAGGATCCAAAATGCAGCAGTCTGATTGGTCCTAGAACAATAGGATTCAGAATGCAGCAGCCTGATTGGTCCTAGAACACTGCAGCAGTATGATTGGTCCACAGGCGCCACCCAGGTGGAAGTGAATCCACAATCTGATTGCCTTACAGGAGAATCCCGGAATTAGCCAATCACGTGGGGCCCATTGTGTAAATAATGTATATAAAGCAGATATTTTGGGGAAACATTTATTCCTCCTCACCACTATGAGCTGAATAAAGAGCATGAAATCCACTCTCGACTCCGAGTAGATTTCAAGTGGTCAAGACACAGAGTTAGAAGCAGCAGCAGTGCCAGCTAAGGAGCCAGACCACATTCGGGGTCTGTGTGAGCCTGACCAATAGAAGCCCACAGCACAACCTCCCAGAGCATCAGGGACTGTAGAACCACAACTAGGACCAGGACCCTCACAGGTGCCTTTCACAAATGATCCAAATGCCTCCCCCAGTACTTCACAGGAACTGCACCAAGTGTGAGAAAGAAAGCAGAGGCACCAATCTTAAGAAACTAAGTTCTCTACAAGTGGGCAGAACCTGGGAGAGGCTTAAAAATGTTTAGCTATTTGTTGGAGCAAGCGTCTCACTCTGAGCTCTCCGTGGTGCTGCAACTCCTGTTCTGCCTTGCTCTTTGGTCAGGCTCTGCCTGGAGCAAGTTTACAATGTTGCTTCAACCAGAGATAATCCCAGATTGAGAAACTGAAGCTGCTGGCTTTGTAAGCAATTCCGCCACACACCCTGATTTTCCCTCCAAATTGCCTTCCTTGTCCCTCAAAGATGGGAAGTAAGGCCCCGAGGTTGTGTCTGTGACAAATTCATAGCTTAGTCAGCACCAAGTTCTGTCTGGGTGGAGTGAGGAGTTCCCTCTGTCTGTTCTTCTTGGAGAGACACTTCTCCAGTCTCCCTTCTTTTGAAGCCACCTGTTTCTTCCAAACCTTCCATGATAATGAGGAACCAAGGGAGGGAGGAACTCCTGCTTCTGCCTGCTCCCCAAATCAATCTTTGTTCAATATCTGTTCTCTCTCTTCCTCCCTGATAACTCTGGATTCCTCCAAACCCGACACACACAGCTCTACGACATGTTCTCTGGCATCATGCAGCACCTGCCTGGCCCACAAGATAAAACCTTCAAGAAGCTGTTGGGCCTGAAGGAATTCATTAAAAGGAAGATAAAAGAAAACAAGGAGACCCTGGACCCTAACAACCCTCGGGATTTCATTGACTGCTTCCTAGTGAAAATGCAGCAGGTACAATTATGTTATTCTAGTTAGGTAAAGGTAAAGGGAACCCTGACCATTAGGTCCAGTTGTGGCCGACTCTGGGGTTGCGGCGCTCATCTCGCTTTAGTGGCCGAGGGAGCCGGCGTACAGCTTCTGGGTCATGTGGCCAGCAGGACTAAGCCGCTTCTGGCGAACCAGAGCAGCGCACGGAAACGCCATTTACCTTCCCGCCAGAGCGGTACCTATTTATCTACTTGCACTTTGACGTGCTTTCGAACTGCTAGGTTGGCAGGAGCAGGGACCGAGCAACGGGAGCTCACCCCATCGCAGGGATTCGAACCACCGACCTTCTGATCGGCAAGTCCTAGGCTCTGTGGTTTAACTCACAGCGCCACCCGCGTCCCTTGTTATTCTAGTTACTACAATCAATTTCTCCATAAGGAAACTTTGTGGACCCTGGGCCCACTGGGAGGATATTGTTACTAAACCAAATTCAAACAAAGGAAGAAGTATGTTGGAGGATTCAGGACAGACCAAATAAAGTACTTCTTCATGCAGCATTTGATTAAACTCCCCCTCCACCCACCCATCTGTTTCCCACACAATCGTTGGGCTGATTTTCAGCCCACCACAACTGTCCCCTTCCCCCTCATTGGCGTGAGCATGACATCACTGCAGCTCAGCCAATCAGTAAGGGAGAGAGAGCTTCATAGACAGGAGCCAGTCAGATTTTAGCCTATCCCAAGAAATAATACAGTGGTGCCCCACAAGACGAATGCCTCGCAAGACGAAAAACCCGCTAGACGAAAGGGTTTTCCGTTTTTCGATGCGTTTCGCAAGACGATTTTCCCTATGGGCTTGCTTCGCAAGACGTTTCCGTCTTGCGAGTCTTGCGATTTTTTTCGCCCCCCCTTTTTCTAAGTCGCTAAGCCGCTAATAGCCTTTTAGCCGCTAAGCCGCTAAGCCTTTAATAGCCGCTAAGCCGCTAATAGCCTTTTAGCCGCTAAGCCGCTAAGCCTTTAATAGCCACTAAGCGGCTAAACCGCTAATAGCGCTAATCCGCTAAGCCGCTAATAGGGTTGCTTCACAAGACGAAAAAAACGCTAGACGAAGAGACTCGCAGAACGGATTATTTTCGTCTTGTGAGGCACCACTGTAAGTGAATACGTTTTCTTCTGCCTAGGAAAAGGAAAACCCAAACTCAGAGTTCTTCCTAGAGAATCTGGTTTGTACAACAGCTAACCTCTTCTTCGGTGGCACAGAAACGGTCAGCACCACCTTGCGCTATGGCTTCCTGCTTCTGCTGAAATACCCGGAGGTTGAAGGTGACTGCGGAAGGGGGAGGAAAATAGGCTGGAGAGATGTGTCCTTGCCTTTCTATGGGAGGGTCCCTCTTTGTTTCCCCAGCTATGAGCTGGGATCCTTCTTTAGCTCCCTGGAAGGTGCAAATAGCACTTTTGCTCTCATCCTGCTGATTTCTCAACAGAGAAAGTCCACGAAGAGATTGAACGGGTGATTGGCTCCAGTCGCACTCCCAACATGGATGACCGTCCCCTGATGCCCTACACGGATGCTGTGATCCACGAGATCCAGAGATTCGCTGACATGCTCCCCTTGGGGTTAGCGAGACGTGTGACCCGTGATACCCAGTTCCGGGGATACACCATTCCCAAGGTATTGTGGTTCTATTATTTCCTCAGACTTAGACTCCACCCTTCCAGATATAGTTTGTGGCTCAGTGAAGTTCCCCAAGTGTGTAGGTATGTTGATATGTACAGTATAAGGTAAAGGGACCCCTGACCATTAGGTCCAGTTGTGGCCAACTCTGGGGTTGCGGCGCTCATCTCGCTTTACTGGCCAAGGGAGCCGGCGTACAGCTTCCAGGTCATGTGGCCAGCATGACTAAGCTGCTTCTGGCGAACCAGAGCAGCGCATGGAAATGCCGTTTACCTTCCCGCCGGAGTGGTACCTATTTATCTACTTGCACTTTGACGTGCTTTCGAACTGCTAGGTTGGCAGGCGTATGTACAGTATAGGTAGGTATTATATAGAGTAATGTAGGTATGTTTTATGTTATGAATATAAGGTAGTGTGTTATGTTTGTGTATTGTGTCATTGTGTAAATGTATATGCATGTGTTTTATATGCCAGTAAAATTTATTTAATAAAAAAATAATAATAAGACTATCACCTTCCAGGTATAGTTTGTGGCTCAGTGAAGTTCCCCAAGCATATCTGTTCCACCTGTCCGTACCCTCTGAGTGATAATAATCAGGGAGACAGAGGCACCACACCAAAGGGTGGTGTCCCAAAAATGGGGAACTCTCATTGTAAATAATAATAAATTATTATTTTTATTATCACACCTCAAGGCAAGTGGAAAGACAGTTCTTTTGCATTGCCATTGGCCCTCATAATAATAATAATAATAATAATAATAATAATAATAATAATAATAATAATAATAATACAGTGGTGCCCCGCAAGACGAACGCCTCGCAAGACGGAAAACCCGCTAGACGAAAGGGTTTCCGTTTTGGAGGCGCTTCGCAAAATGAATTTCCCTATGGGGTTGCTTCGCAAGACGAAAAAATCTTGCGAGTCCCCGCGGGTTTTTTCCGCTTTCCCCCCTCTTTTCCTAAGGCGCTAAGCCGTTTATCAGCTGTTCCGCTGATAAGCCGCTTAACAGCTGATCGCGAAAAGCCGCTAGACCGCTGTAGCGCTAATCCACTAAGTGTCAATGGGCTTGCTTCGCAAGACGAAAAAACCGCTAGACGAAGAGAATCGCAGAACGGATTCTTTTTGTCTTGCGAGGCACCACTGTAATAATAATAATAATAATAATAATAATAATAATAATAATAATAATAATAATTTATTATTTATACCCGCCAATTTGGCTGGGTTTCCCCAGCCACTCAGTGTATTGTTTCTTAATGGCCCTATCTTGGCCAGGTTCTTCTGCAAAGGCTAGCCCAGGAATTCTTCTTCAGCTTTCTCCCAAATATTAAAAAACCTGCCATTTATTAATTTATAAAGTTTAGGGAGGTCACCCTCCCCCAAAAAACCTATAAGAATAATTTCTTGCCCACAAGAAGAATGTTCCATTTCTCCCCTCTCTTCTCATTTCCCTCCCTCTCTTGTTCAGGGAACTGAAGTGTTTGCTTTGCTGGGATCCGTGCTGAGAGACCCCCAACATTTTGCAAGACCAGACGTGTTTGACCCCAAACATTTCCTGGATGAGAATGGGCAGTTCAAGAAGAATGAGGCTTTTATGCCATTCTCTACTGGTGAGTCCTCAGCAGCCCCTTGGCGATTTACAGCAAATAGTAGCCCAATATAGTCGACCAACTGAAGTGAGAAGAATTAGCCAGAAAGTGTTGCTGGTGTTGCTGATGTGTACCCTGTCTCTCCAAACAGTATCTCTTTTCTCTTCTACAGAAAAATACATTTTTGAACCATGCACACCAAATTTGTTATTATGAAGGAATGGGTTTCCCAAACCCAAAATTGACTGTGCAGGCAGTTTGAAACTGCACCAAAATCCCTATTTTTCCTTAGCTAAAATCCATTAACTTGAGCTCTGAGTCAATGTTTAAACAAAAACCCGGCTGTGCTCAGAGCCCTCTCCTTTATCAATTTGTGATGGCAGGGATGACCCTGACTGCACCAGTAGAACAGAGAAGACACGTCCGTGTCTTATCTTATCTGCTGACCACAAAAGACTCACAGATCTAAGTCTGGGAACAACGCCAGAGCGTGTTCTCGGAGATGATGACCTCTTCCTCCAAGATAAGAGTAGGAAGAGGGAGATCCTTTTATGGTCAGAAGTACAGGAAGGAATTCCCTTTTATGGTTAAGAATACCAAAGCAAGAACATATGTGATGTCAACCTGCTTACATAGGCTGACGTGGTTGGATTCCTGGGGAAGGAGGGAGAGGGTGCCTGGAGGATATATATACTATATGAAACTTCTCATTTTTTTGGACTTGCTATGGACTGACCAAGCAAGTGCCTCCTGCTATCCGGAGAGCAGAATAAACTCTTTCTTTGAACCAACCTCGGTGTCATTTGACTTCCTTCCTCCTGTCCCGGAGCAACGCAGACCCAATCGGTGAACTCCAATAAGGCTACAATTATTATTTATTAAAGTTGCATACTGCCCTTTACCTGTAGATCTCAGTTGTAATGGTGTATTGTATCCATGGCTGTGTGGGTTAGAGGAGTCTTGGCCAGAAAACTTTGAAGCAGGCTATAACGACCCATCTTTTCTTTCCTCCTCTTTCCTAGGGAAACGCTATTGCTTTGGAGAGCAGCTGGCCCGAATGGAACTTTTCCTCTTCTTCACCAGCATCCTGCAGAACTTCCACCTAAAATCCCCCATCCCTCCTGAAAAGATCGACCTCTCTCCCATGCTGGTTGGCTTTGCCACCGTTCCACGTTTTTATGAAATGTGCGCCATTCCCTTGTGAAAGAGGAGGACAGGTGTCTTGATTGTCACCCACCTTGGCTGCCCCAAATTCAAAAGTTGGAGAAAACTTGAACTCAGGAAGGGCCAGAACAGGTTGACCCTTCCTCCTCCAGAATCTTTCTTTTCAAGCTCCATGATCTCTGTTTCCATGGGTAGAATTTCTCTTCTCTGCATTTTCTTGGAATTGATCTCACAGGTCCATAAATATCTGGTCCCTGGCTCTCTGCCCTCTTCCTCCCCTACCCCACTTCCCTGAGGTACCAGGGTTGAGTCCTTCTCATCTTCCCCCTTTCTGGTCACCAGTCTCCCTTCTGGCGCCTAGTCCAACTCTGAAGTCTTTATTTCCATGCCATGTCCCCCACCCTTTCCTGTCTTTGTTCTTCCACTTGTGATATGTTTGCCAACATACCTTTGCTGACACTTTCATTGTGAGTAGTTAAGGAAGAATTGTAGTTAAGGAAGAACCTGTGGGATAGGTGTCAGGATGATATGTGGGTGCTTGCCGAGATAACAGCCCAGGATTCCAGCCTGTCTTTACGAGATTTATTAAGTCCAAAACTATGTACAGTACGGAGCTCTTGAAAGCATGTCTGCCTCAATCGCTATCAGTTGCCGGAAGTGGCTCACGCCTGTTCCCCCTCCAGTGGAGAAGCTTCCTGACCTCCCCCCCCCCTTTTCCTCCTCTCCTTACGTGAAAACCTAAGCGCCGGAGGCTGCTCCTTTCTCTCTACTATAGCAGCCTTTGGATTTCCCTCCCTCTCATTTTCCGTGTTCCTGACAGTCCCTCCTCCTCTCCCTCTGACAAGTGCAGCTGCTCATCAAAGGAGGCGGCTCTCTGTACATTCCGGTCTCTCCCCCCTTCTCTGCCAACCGATCCCTGACAATAGGACAGTTGCTAGCACGGTTTACAGCTTGAGGAGGTCAGCCAAATCTTGTGTCTCTGAATATTTCCATCTCTCAATCCACAGTATGATGAGCAGGGGCAGCGGAGGAGGAAGCCACTCAGGCGTCTGGATTGGTGCGCCCAGGGGCGGGGCACACTTCCTATAGGGGCGGGGCGAAGGCGGGGTGAGCCACCCATAGGGGAAGGCCACAGCGCGGGGCCTCTGGAGTCTGCCTGTCTCCTCCCACTCAGCTGCCTACAGCTGGGTGGGGGGAGGCAGTGGATGGACCATTTGGGCAGAGCGGAGCCTGTGCGCGCCCAAACCACCGTGTCTCTCCCAGCATTTTGTCACCCCCCTCAGTGGTGACACCCAGGGCACCCCGCCCCTACTGCACACCCCTTCCTCCACCCCTGGGTAGAATCTCCTAAGGTAGAATCTGGGACCCTGAGTCTCCCTCCCCCTGCAACTAGGGGCACTCTTTGACCCCCACTCCATTATCAGTCAATGTTTCGCCAATGCCATCTGTTGAATTTTTTCACATTTAATCAGCTGAGAATGAAACTAAGTTGAAGCGGTATATTGATTTTTCTCAATACCTCAAATAATTAGGGCCATTCTACCCTGTCAAAGGCTTTTTTGCACTGAAAAGTAAGAAAACAGTTGGTAAATCTCTGCTTTATTCAGGATGTACAGTACACTGCTTTCAATATTTGTACTCTATTGCCTTCTCTTAATAAATCCAGTTTGAACTGGACGAATGTACAATCCACTGATGTCATTGAGCCTTCTTTATATGACACTTGCCAGAATTACAGCAATTTTTGGTTAGTCCCAGCTCTCTGGAGTTACTTCTTTCTGTGGGAAATATTTAAACAGCTTCTTCAAAAATGTAACTTGTTCTTCCTGGCATGTTTGATTGTTTTACTCTATGCCAAACCCATCCACTGCAAGACTTGAAGCCACAGGGAACCAGGCAGAGTGCCATCTTTGTAGTGGCACCCGCCCTGTGGAAACGCCCTCCCATCAGCTCATATGCTAATTTGGTAAACAGCAGACGGAATGGAATGTGACCTTGTACCATCCAGATAAACACTGCAAAGAACTGAGTAATGGAAGATAGTAATGAACTCTCCCAGCACACCAGGTCTGGAACAACAATGTATACACGTGAAATGGATTACTTATTTATAAAATGTAATGGAGGTGCTGTTTTGTAAAGTGGAAAAAGTGGTCAGCTGGAAGAATGGTTTAACGGCAAGTGAAAGATGTCAACTGGACTCTAAATAAGAAATGATGATGGTCATATGCTTGGAACCGGAGCAGGAAACCTGATCTTAAGAAATTGTATTAAATTTTAAATTAATTTGGTTTGATTTGTAATAATTTGGAAAAAATAATAAAAATAATTTGGAAAAAAGAAGTTTAATTCCAATTTTTGCCTTTGAAAAGTCCTGGTGGCATAAAGATGCAACTAGTCCTAGGGTAAGAATTATCATTTCCCACTTACAAATATAGTTTATCTCCTTCTCAATTGTGATGTCTAAATTCACTTTGATTGGCTAAAATATCAGGATCCATTCCCACCATTGCCTCTATTAAACGCCTTTCAATACTCAGTTTTTCTCCCACCCAATAAATGGAGGTCAATAGCTTTCCTCACCTGTAGGCTAATATATTTCAGTAAGATTTCTCTAGGGTATCCTGCCCTATTGGCCTGATTTATGCCCGCTCATGTCCTTCATTCTAGCAGAAGGTTCTGCCTGCCCACAGTGGCTAGAGAGCAGCTGCCATGTTTATGGAGAGCAAAGAAGTTGGTGTAATGGATTCTTCCATTCGTCCTGCAAATAAGGCATTTAAAAATAAATAAATCTAATTTGCAATAGTATGTGCTTTTTGATTCACACATTACTCTAGTACAGACATGCTTGAATACATTACAAGCCTGGGGAACTGTATTTCAAAATTCTAAGTACTGCACATTCTGAAAACTGGCTGCGTTTGAGTTTACAGCTTGTATCAAAAAGTGTGAATAAGTTTGTCTTTAAATGTGAACTGAATCAAATTTCTCCCCCATCCTTACTGAATAGGAAGCATAACAGTTAACAGATTTTCCAGGTTTCCATGCAAAGAAATCTCAAATGTATTGTTCCCTGGTGGAGAAGCTGCAGATGGTGTAAAACTCTGCTACACCATCGCTCTCTGATTTAACCTATGAGCAACATGGGACACCTCTGCTGGAGGTGCTGCACTGGGTGCCGATTTTCCATTGAGCCTCTGCACCCTGCAAGCCCTAGAATAATAGAATTTTAAAGTCGGAAGAGACCCTGAGGGTTATCTATGCCAATTCCCTGCAATGCAGGAAAGAAAGCCATGGATCAGGCATAGGCAAACTCGGCCCTTCAGATGTTTTGGGACTACAACTCCCATCATCCCTGACCACGGGTCCTGCTAGCTAGGGATGATGGGAGTTGTAGTCCCAAAACATCTGGAGGGCCGAGTTTGCCTATGCCTGTCGTAGAGAGATTTGAGCCATCAATCTGAACCAGTTCTGGAAATGGAAGACACCTTGAAGACAGCCTCGGACAATTCACCCAGTGCCTGGAAGATACCTCTCCATTCAGAAACAAGCCGCAGCAAACACCCGGACAAAGTGATAACAGTGGTAGCTGGTAAATAAATTAGTTAATAATAATAATAATAATAATAATAATAATAATAATAATAATAATAATAATAATAATTTTATTTATACCCCCCTCCCCAGCCAAGACCGGGCTCCGGGCGGCTAACACCAGGTATAAAACAATTGATTAAAATACAACTTAAAAACAAGATTAAAATACAACATTAAAATGCAGCCTCATTTCAGTAGAAACTCAAATCAAAAACTTTGGGGGGATGAAAACGTCAAATCTTCACCAAGGCCAACATTCCAGACTGGTCCTACGTGGGTCAGAAAAGCCAGGGAAGTCCCCCAAATAGGAGTTCCATCACAGAAATAGAAAGGAAAACGGATAGAGGGGGAGGGGATCAAGTTGATTCCAAGCCAAAGGCCAGGCGGAACAACTCTGTCTTACAGGCCCTGCGGAAAGAAATCAGATCCTGCAGGGCCCTGGTCTCATGAGACAGAGCGTTCCACCAGGCCGGAGCCATCACTGAGAAGGCCCTGGCTCTGGTTGAGGCTAATCTGACTTCCTTAGGGCCCGGGACCTCTAGGGTGTTGCTATTTATGGACCTTAAGGTCCTCTGCAGGGCATACAGGGAGAGGCGGTCCTGTAGGTACGAGGGTCCTAGGCTGTAAAGGGAGATACAGAAAGTGGGGCTTCTGGGATTCTATCTCTGCCCTTGGCTTCCTGGGACAGTCCATCACAGCCAAACACACTTCAACAGCCTCCATCTCTGTGTTCTCCTTCCTTGTCTTATGTAAAACCAGAGACCCTGTCCAACAATTTGGAAAAGTGGGAGGGAATTCTGCATGTCCTGGGAACTCCATGAAGGTCTCCTAGTGGTGTGGGCAGGACACTCCCTCGTAAGTGCCTCTCTCCTTGATAGTTTTGTGCTTGTGTTTGAACCATGTCTGCCTAAAGCAGCCTTTCTCAACCTGTGGGTCCCCAGACTACAACTCCCCTCACCCCTAGCTAGCCAGAGCTCAGGGATGTTGGGAGTTGTAGTCCAACAACATCTGGGGACCCACAGGTGGAGAACCGCTGGAAGGGTTGGCCTCTGATGCAGAGAAGCCATCCTCTGCCTCAGAAATAATCTCCAAATAGTGCCAGTTCTCTCTTGTACATAAAGCATGAAAAATCGATGAAGCAGGACTGTCTCACGCAAAAAATAAGACCTCTGGACTTTTGGCAGGAGATCTTCTCTTCTTGAATAGAAAGGAGACCAAGAGGCGTGAGTGCAAACAAGTTGCATAACTCCACAAAGGGTGTTATCCCTCAGGTTAGGTTACATAACAGCCTCAACTCGGGCTGTGCATGTATTTTCTCTTCCCAGCTACTCAGAGCTCCACAGGCCACTTGCAACCTCCCCATGGATCTCCTGGGAGCAGCAACCCTTTTCCTGGTCATCTGCCTCTCTTGCCTGATGGTCCTCTCAACATGGCGGCAGATGTACCGCAAAAGCCAGATGCCACCTGGACCAACTCCCCTCCCCTTCATCGGGAACCTGCTCCAAGTCAAAACAAGTGACATGTTCCGTTCACTCATGAAGGTAACTTTCTATAATGTGACAGAGCACAGATTCCCATTCTCTGAATTGTTATTATAAAATCATACTTAAATACTGTTGATTAATGAAGGTCACTCCCGTCTATCTATCTACCCACTCATATCTCTCTCTCTCTCTCTCTCTCTCTCTCTCTCTCTCTCTCTCTCTCTCCCACTTGAGTCATCATCTCCTCATAATTCTCCTTCCACCACATTCTCCAGCTTTTGCTTCTCTCTCTCTTTACAGTGGTACCTCAGGTTAAGTACTTAATTCGTTCCGGAGGTCTGTTCTCAACCTGAAACTGTTGTTAACCTGAAGCACCACTTCAGCTAATGGGGCCTCCTGCTGCTGCCACACCGCCGGAGCACGATTTCTGTTCTCATCCTGCAGCAAAGTTCTTAACCTGAAGCACTATTTCTGGGTTAGCGGAGTCTGTAACCTGAAGCGTATGTAACCTGAAGAGTATGTAACCCGAGGTACCACTGTATATTTCTGCCTGAGTGAAGGGATGGGCACATCTGTCAATTCTCATGTCCTCAAAAAAATTAGTCAGCATTTTAGTGTGCCTTTCTTTTAAGGCACCTCCTCTGGCAACCTGCACAAAATTTTGCTTGATGGTTGCCATTAATTTGATTTTAATTTGATTTAATTAATTTTATAATGAATGTTTTAGAATGTTGGACTATTTTGATTGTTGTTAGCCGCCCTGAGCCCAGCTTCGGCTGGGGAGGGCGGGATATAAATAAAATTTATTATTATTATTATTATTTTTAAATAAATAATATTATAATATAATAATTTTAATTTATCAGCACCATGCTCTAACCAACCGAGCTGTACAGCAGGTATATTATTAGTTCCTTTTGACACAAGGTCACACTTTTTGGGCAGCTTCTGGGGGTTATGATTTGACAGATATCTCGTGTGTTAGGAAATCCTCTTATTTTAACTTTTGGATGTTAGATCTAGCTTCTGGGGGTTGAGAACGCCCTCTGGGGACATTATTAGGTGATGATAAAAAGGAAAGACAATTGTCCTGTTCTAAATAGGGACACAGCCTTCTGAAATTTAGATTTACAGGCATTTGCACAAGAGGCAAACTTACAATTCCTTGATGAAAAATTTACTCATTTGGTCTGGGAATTGATTTAAAGGAGATGCATTTGCCATTAAATTTATATAGCAGGCTTCCCCCCCCCAAAAAAATAACTCAACCCCACCCAGGCCCAATGACTATGTGCATAGACCTAGTGACGTATGTGCAGAAGCAGTTTACAATCCCAGGCTTTCCCTGTCATATTTCAAATATCCTGTGGCACCTCTGATTCCCTTACGTTATTTGACCCTATTAGGGGCCAACTGAAGATGGCAACAACACAATTGTTTAGTCATTTAGTCGTGTCCGCCTCTTCGTGACCCCCTGGACCAGAGCACGCCAGGCACTCCTCCTGTCTTCCACTGCCTCCCGCAGTTTGGTCAAACCCATGCTGGTAGCTTCAAGAACACTGTCCCACCATCTCGTCCTCTGTCGCCCCCTTCTCCTTGTGCCCTCC